TCCATCAGCATAAGAAACACACACCCAGGTCTAATTCAAAGATTCCCTGGTGGCTAGTGGTTCCCTGGTGGTAAAGGCGAACCTGAGGATCGTATCCATCTTCTCTCCTGATACATTATATGAACAATTTATATCCAATATTATTGTTACTATATATGGTGACAATCAATCATAAATTAACCACCTCCTTACTACTATAATTACCCTATAACACAATCAACGTCAAGACGTTTTCCCGGCACCGGAAGTTGCCTGGTGGCCATTTTGGATTAGGGAAAGATCGTGCAGGTGCACCTGGACGTTTCCCTGGATGACCCTGAGATTCCTTTATTCCCTTAAATGCGATTTAAAGGCTTTTACAATGTGAGCAGTTCTAAATAAAGTCCATGTTGTAAATTATATTGGCGGTATTACACTATGTTCTATATGTTTTTTTTGGAGACACTGTGAGCAGAGTGTCTGAGGAGTCCAGAGTGTGGTGGCTACAGGATACAGCAGAGGAAAGATCCTTAAGAGGTCTAGCCTGTGGAGTTCCTGGATCATTATAAGCATACTATATTGGGATGGTTGGTAAGGGTACCCTTCCTGCAAATAGAAGTGCACACTATCTGAATCTGTTTTTGTTTTGATGTGGCACTAAAAGAGTGTTATATACACTGATTTGTTTTTCACTGATCACGTTTGGTTCATGTTTTTCACTATTTTTTCACCTATATTCACTGTAGGAAGTATATGAAAGTTTTTTATAAATATATTTTTAAAAGATAACGCACTATATGAATTTTCTTTTTTTTGAGGTGGACATTTTATGAATATCGTTGGAAGAATTGATTGGATATTTTTAGTGGACTTGAAAAGGAATTGTAGTAGACTTTATTTTTGTAGTGGATTTATATATTTTTTGTAAAAATTTGGGGATTAAGGTAATTGGAGGATTATTGTTTTTTTGGAGAATCTTGTAAATACACTGTCACTTATATAATATATATGGTGACACCCTCTTTTGCTTGATATATATTCTCTAGCGCTACATATCCCATTTATTTTATATATTTTTATGATTTAAGGTATTGAGGATTACCCTGTATGTTAGCTGCTTACCCTGTCTGTTTGCGCTCACTTACCTTACCCCCTATATATAACTCTGCATAGAACCTAGTCAGCTTCCAGGTTTTATTGCAAAAGCCTAATTGAACAAGCTGAAGTTAGAAGTTGATTGGCTACAATGCACAGCTGCTCCAGATTCTGAGCATGCCTGGTAATGTACATCCAGCATGGACAGAGCTATGCACAAAAGCCCACACTGGTTTCCTTCTACTCATGTGAATCCTTTCTTCCTTACAAGCATTCAGGAGGCAATACTGTTGTTCATTCCGCGAGACCTAAGAGTGGTTAGATAGACCCTAAAACATTGGAAAAAATATGTTATTTTAGACATACCAGCACTTAGATGGCACATGTTTACGTTACAGGATTATCGGTGATCTGAGTGCGAGGTATGAAAAGATGAAGCCTGCAGTATCTATATCAAAAGAAGAGCACAAACACATGTTGTTCACTTGCTCATTTCAAGTTTAAAATGGATCACATTATACAGATAATTACTTTCTTTATAGTGGCAGCGCAGGCCACATGGAAAAGTGCATCAGTTTGTATATGAACGCTGTTGATAGACTAATACCCTTTACTAACCAATCCATGACTGCTGCAGGGAAGCCTACCCCACCTCCACCTAAGAACTGTACTTGAGTCACCTTCATCAAAGCATCCCCTGCAGCTATTACCTTTTCTACCACTTCCCTCTCCCTTTAGATTGTAAGCTCCATGAGCAGGGCCCTCCTATGCCTTTTGTATTGAACTGTATTGTAATTGTACTGTGCCCCTTTATATTGTAGAGCACTGCATAAACTGTTGGCACTATATACATTCTGTATAATAAGAATAATTTGTATTAGAGAATTGCTATTACTAACATATAAGATAATAAACAGAGAAAGTGAATGTCAGAACAATCACAAAACTGAACAAAGCTAGCATAAACCAAGTGTGACTAACCTGCATCAAGAGGAGAGAACAAACACATATTACTTGCTCATTTTGAGTTTCATGTGAGCTTGTTGGTATTAGTCTCCTGAATTCACACTACAAATTATTAGAGCTCCCTCTAGCTGCAGCCTAGTAATAGCATTACTGGAAGGTTTATTAATTTACTTGCTGCATTTGCACACTGGACAACAACAAAATACACGTTTAGTAAAGTCACTGTATGTACAATGTAGCTCGTGCGTATGTATTTTCGACCATCATGGGTGCATAATAACTACAGTGAGGATACAATCTGGGTTTTCATGCATGATGGATGCTCTATGATACACATATGAGCTTTAGAAAACCAGGCCCAGTAAGTAGGGATCTGCTTATTTGTTACAAGGATTATTTTGCTACTAAGTGACATGTTTTTTAGTAAAGAACCATACTCTTTTGTTTTTTTTATACATTTAATTGACTGACTAGTAAAACAAATGGACTGTTTCTGTGTGGAAGCCAGCTGAAATGGCTCAGTAAGCCTTCAGAATAGTTCCAAATTTTGATCAGCACAGATGGTACCAAAGCTTGGCAGAATTTAGCTGTGTTGACCAATAAATTGTTGAACAGTAGTCCAAGCTAGAAGTGTTTCTCCATCCCTTCCTAACTGCAAAAATAGCCTCATGTGTTATTTTGTTAGGTTGACAGCATGACCAAGTATTTGTGTTATTTGTAAAGCATCTATTGCAGTTCATATGAAAATGAAAAGGACAAAATATGTAGTTGACAAATATGAAACGAAGGAATGTTTTATTTACTCCATCTGTTTATCTGCTAATTGGAAAATCAGCTATTGTGGCATTACAATTAGCATGGATTTTTTTTTTTTTTAAATTGTGGTGTCCTAGGCAGGGGCGGACTGACAACTCATGGGGCCCCCGGGCAATAGGGGATCATGGGGCCCCTGTGTCCTTGCCCAAACTCAAAAAAGTCTATGAAAAAAGGTACCAGGGGCATCTCATGGGGCCCCCCTATTGATCCCGGGCCCTCGGGCAGTGCCCGAGTTTCCAAATGGTCAGTCCGCCCCTGGTCCTAGGTAATCAGTATTGGTTTGCACGGAGAGACAGAGGGAAATCACACAGATGCTGACAGTAGCGTGGTCCATGTTGATTTGGCTTTCTATCCATCAGCTCGATAGTTCTCAGCATCTTGTGGCATGCTGTCGGCTATACCCTCATCCTCAGAGCTGCTCTTCCTATACTGATCCACCTTGGCAATGATCTATTTTATATAATCCCCATGGGTCAAACATTGACCCATCATATAACATTTAGGGTATAGGCAATACTAGTAAAGTGAAAGGTTACTTACAAAATACCAGTTAGAGTATACAGTATGTTAACCCTAAAGGCTAATTTACATCTATATGTTTCAGGGGAGTGTGTGAGTTACCCCAAAGCATAGCATATGCAGTGCAATGCCATTTTTTTTAATGGCAACCCAAGTGGGTTTTTCAATGTATGGCATCACACTAAAGTGCATCACCTTGCATTAAAAATTTAGTGGAATGTCCAATTTTTTTGTGTGTTGATGGCCCATTGATTTCAATGGGCTACCTTAATGCTTCACACTTAAAACTTGCAACACAATGGGGGTATTTACCAAGGCTGGAAAGTGCCTGAGGGCCAAAAATACATTGACTTTTTATGGCTTTTTGTCACCGCTATCTATAAAGGACTGCATGTTTTAGCTGATCTACACTGGCGCCGGCCTTTACTTATATTCATTGGAGTTTGGAGGTTTTCAGAGACCTTTGAGGCTGGGAGCCATGCCATAGGAGCTGAGAATGATTCACAGGAGGTGGTGTATCTACAGACTTGTTCCAGCCTGCACGAGTGCCCCCACAGGAAGCCGCTTTCCATTGAGGCACTTGCCGATGAGGAGGAGCCAGGAGCGCCTCCGGGGGACCCCAGAAGAGGAGGATTGGGGCTGCTCTGTGTAAAACCATTGCACAGAGCAGGTACACTCACCAGCCACTTTTTTAGGTACACCTTGCTATTACTGGGTTGGATCCCCTTTTGCCTTCAGAACTGCCTTAGTTCTTCATGGCAGAGATGGTATTTTGCATACTTTGGTTGTAACGAGTGGTTATTTGAGATACTGTTGCCTTTCTATCACCTCAAACCAGCCTCTTCATTATCCTCTGACCTCTGACATCAACAAGGCATTTTTGTCCACACAACTGCAGCTCACTGGATATTTTCTCTTTTCCGGACCATTCTCTGTAAACCTCAGAGATGATTGTGTGTGAAAATCCCAGTAGATCAGCAGTTTTTGAAATACTCAGACCAGCCCATTTGGCATCAACAACCATGGCAAGTTCAAAGTCACTTAAATCCCTTTTCTTCCCCATTCTGATGCTCGGCTTGAACTTCAAAAAGTTGTCTTCACCACGTCTAGATGCCTAAATGCATTGAGTTGCTGCCATGTGATTGGCTGATTAGCAAATTGTGTTACCAAGCAATTGAACAGGTGTATCTAATAAAGTAGCTGGTGAGTGTAAGTATAACATGTTTATTATTTTATTTTTAAAAAAATCTTTAATTTCCCTTTAAGCAAATCTTTTTTTTTTTTGTGAATCCATTGCAAAGTTTCTTACCTGGAGACTGTCAGAACAGCACTTCCTGTTGCAAGCTGAGAATGCAAAGCTACTTCCTGACAATTAGCAGCAGCATTGACAACCTGTTGTGCAAGCTGCTTCAGTTGGCTGTTGGTTGCCTATCTAATAGACCTGATAGACAGCCCAACAACCAACTAAAGGAGCAAGGTGGTCATTTCTAAAGTGATGGGAATGCAGCTGCATCCAGATTAGCTAAAGGTTTCAAAGTTGAAGCAAACTTAAAATTAACCTGTCATTATAGAAACATGTAAAGGCTCTCCAATAAGATCAGGAAATAAAAAAAAAAGAGAATAAAAGGCCATGGAGAGATTATTGGCATATTTAACTACACTTACAAGGTATATAGCTTTCCAAAAAACATTTCAATTAAAGTACAGTGCATCTGCTCATGTGGGATTGTGAGAAGCAGGGGCGGACTGACCATTTGGAAACTCGGGCACTGCTGGAAATACAGTTTTTCATATAAATTATATTTCTACATGGCAATTAATCTACTGGGTGTAGTAGAGTAATAAAAAACCAACAGACCCAACAGTCATGACATTTATGCTCCTGATTCTGTATAATTGAATCATTAACCTCTTCCCATAATGTACTGCGACCAGGGGCGGGCTGACCATTTGGAAACTCGGGCACTGCCCGAGGGCCCGGGGTCAGTAGGGGGCCCCATGAGATGCCTCTGGTACCTTTTTCATAGGCTTTTTTGAGTTTGGGCAAGGACATAGGGGCCCCATGATCCCCTATTGCCCGAGGGCCCCATGAGTTGTCAGTCCGCCCCTGGTGAGAAGCCAACCGGGGGATCAAGCAACCTGGTGAAAAGCTTGTCTTGAATTTGATGAGTGAGCGCACTTGATGTTCACTGGGTAGTTCTGGCTGATCTTGTACTGCTAAGTGTTTGAATCTGCTTGCAGAACTAGTCATGAAACAATGAAGGTTCTTACCCACTTTACCTCTGGAAGGTTTTACCCCTTTCATGACCAGACCGTTTCCTACTATTCAACACTGCTTGTACTTTAACTGGCAATTACGCGGTCAACACCAGCCCCAACACTGTATCCAAATGAAATTTATATAATTTATATTAATTTTTCACATAACTAGTGCTTTCTTTTGGTGGCATTTTATCACCACTGTTTTTTTTAATTCTTTTTAATTATATATAACCAAAAAAAAAGACCAATAATCTAAAAAAAAACAATATTTTCTACTTTCTGTTATGTAACATATATATATATATATACACATATATATATTCTTTATAAATTTAGAGCAAAATGGATTCTGCTACACGTCTTTGGTAAAAAAAAAAAAAAAAAATGCTAGAAAGTGTATAGTAGCCTCCCTAGTGGTCTGATTATGTCCATATTTCTGTGCTCAAAGCAGTACATTTTTTTGCATGGAAATATGTTTTTTTTTTATTGCAGGCCTGTAATTTTTAGGAATAACTCACTGAAATCTGTCCAAACAAGAGTCTAGTAAACATCCCAGGTAGGATAAAATTTGAAACACGAAATCATGAATTATAATTTAATAAATAATCTTACAAAATAATAATAATAATAATAAATTTAATTCAATAATATAATCACACCAAATTTGAAATAGAGCGCCAAGTTCGCACATCACTGAGCAAAGTCGCAAAATCGTTTTCAGTGTCTGATGACGAATTTCCTCACGAATCATTATCACTCAATTCTGCAAGTGGTTCTGATTTACTATCGCTGTTCTCTAGCTGGTCTAAAACTGATTTTGACCTAAAGGGACGCTTTTTGGATGCCATGGACGTTTCTCAGTTTTCCAGGCAGAAAGAACAGTAAAAATGCAGGCAGGGCACAGGACAAAGCACTAGGAACAAAATGTATGTGAAATGGTTTGATACAGTAATGTTATACTATGTGATTTTAGTGTATTTAGTGAATGTCACTTTTTCACATTTTTAAATTTCCCGCCGTTTTGTCCCCCGTATGTCCTGATGTCGCAGGGAATGGAACCCAGAAGACAGATGCCGGCATCGGACGGAGGAGATGGCCGGGACACTGCAGGGGGGACATCGCGGGAGCGCAGGACAAGGTAAGTGCAGAAGGGATCCCGGAGCAATGCTGCAAGGTATTCCCGAGTGTAGCTCGGGGTTACCACTTGTGGTGCTGAAACTTTACCCCGAGCTACACTCGGGAATACCGCCAGGGTGGTTGATCGGTTTGTGTGAAAATGAGTCCACAAACTATGGTATATATATTTGAAAATTGATCAGTCCTCATGTACTGATGGCCTCTTATTTCTTGAGGCCTGCAAATGCCAGAACAGTACAAACACCTCCCAAATGACCAATTTTTGGAAAATAGATAGTCTGTAAAGTATTTAGTAAGAGGTATGGTGAGATTTTTGAAGTTGCAATGTTTTTGTCACAGTCTTTTGGAAAATGAACAAATAAAATACAATTTGCTTTTTACCCACAGTTTATTTACATACTGTCACCAGTGCAGTACAGTGTCGTCATATAACTGGTGTGGCTGTGATCAGGGATACTAAATGGTGACAGTACAGTATGTAAAAAATAATAATAATAATTTTTTTAATAAATATTTTACATTTATTAATCTTTTTTTTTACACCCTGCCATCAGAGTAGTGAAGTGTCACCATAGTGAGGGGTTGACATTCATGACAGCTTAGTCACTGTTGACATGCTGTGATTGGCTACAGCTAATCACATGGTACAGGTAGCCAGGTGCCCTGTGATAGCTGTGAGCCAATCACAGCATCACAACACTAAGCAAGCAGGTATGAATGTAGACTATTCATGATTGTTTAGTTTACATTGTAATTGTGTCACCATAGTGAGGGGTTGACATTCATGACAGCTTAGTCACTGTTGACATGCTGTGATTGGCTACAGCTAATCACATGGTACAGGTAGCCAGGTGCCCTGTGATAGCTGTGAGCCAATCACAGCATCACAACACTAAGCAAGCAGGTATGAATGTAGACTAGTCATGATTGTTTAGTTTACATTGTAATCATGCAATTGCTATGACCAATCATAACGATCACATGAAGGCGTGGGTGAGAAATCCTCCAGTAGCGAGTGAATCAGTGCGTTGTTCTCCTCCCTAACTTGTCGCTTCTCTGAGCCTGTGATACGGAGACCAATGGCCTAGCTGCATGGTATGGAAAAGAGTAAAGAGTCAATGAACAGCATGTATGAGGTCCGCCCAAGTGCTCAGTGGGACCCCATTCTGTCACTGGGAGTGAGGTGGCAGAGGTACTCTGACTGGTGGAGAGGGAACAGGCTCAGTGGTTCCTTTCCTAAACATGATGCTCAATGGCAAGGTGTGCAAGGACACGGGACAATACGTTCACAAAGGGACTGCTTACATTTACTACTGCACACAGTGTATGGATCATCTGTAAGCAGAGTGCCACCATAAGGTTGATTTCACCTGAACACAGTCCAAACTGGTCCTGGGCATTGACGAGCGTGCCCATACATGCAAAGCTACTCCCATGTGCATGGGCGAGTTGGCCCCGCCCACAATTTGGCATAGTCAACTATGCCCACAAGCAGATCGAGGAAACATTTCCATCAAGATTGTTCAATCATTAGATCAACTTCTGTTGAGCAGGAGTGTCCATACATGGATCGAAATTCATCTGATCCCAGCTGAACCAGCCAACTTTTGATCACTCTATGACCAGCATTAGGCTGAGTACAGATTAATTTCAAAAAGGGCGCACCGACCTAGTGCATTATTGTTTAAAATATTTATTTACTCACAATGAACATAAAAACACAGGCATATCACACCGGACAAGATATTATATCCAAGCAGCATCTGAGTCCATACGATGGAACCCTGGATGACCAACTGGCTAACGCGTTTCGAGGCCACAACCTCTTCCTCAGAGCCAACACTTCAAGAGTCACTTTTTGTTTTTCTATTTGCATTCAGTGAAGACCACCCCAGTCTGTTGAGGGCAGCAAGCAGTGCATGTTTCAGAACATCCAACATCCACTGGTTCCACCGAGTCCATTCCCAGCGCAGGAGAAAAGTGTTTTGCTGTGTTGGACCAGCTGAATTTCAATCTGTGTGCGTAGCCCTCCCTATTCAACAGAAGTCAATCCTTAGATCGACTTCTGTCAAATGGGTACACTGGAAACCTTTCATCGATCACCAGCCACAGAATAGGTTATTCTGACAGCAGAGTTCCTAGGCATGGGGGATTCCTCCATCCACCCTGGTTGTGTGGATGGAGAAATCCATTCATTTGTTTTCATTTAGCCCGCTGGCAAGACAAGTAAAAAATAAACTATCTGTGTATACCCAGCTTCAATAAAGAAACTGCTTAACTTATAATAAGAACACATTCTACTCATTTTTCATGGTATTCATCCACAATCCTAAGTAGGAAGGGATGCTACTAGATTTATTTGTCAGCATCGAAAGCAGAGCCAAAAGCCTGAACAATTGGCTTAAGCATTTGAGTTTTAAAGTGAAACTTTTCAGAGGGAGAAAATGTGACATTTCCATTGTGGTTCTCAGCAAAGACATTTTATTTCATGGCTCAGCAAACACAGCGAAAGTACCACATATAGATTTTTCTATTAAATTCTTAAGATCACAGAGCAGCTGATTAGTTTTACCTGTAATCCCCATGGAGAATTCTTTTCAAGCCGCATCAAGCAGCATCGAATAATCCAGAGACATACTAAGTAAATAAGTATATATTTGAAGAGACTGCCCTTTATATTTGTATATATTAAAATATTTCTAAACCTTTAACTAAATGCCATTTTCATCCAAAGGTCATCGAACCAGGACCCGGGGGCAATTAGCACATGTTGGACACGTGCCGCATCCTACTGAATGATAGGAAGACACATACCAAGACAGCTGGTCAGTGAGAGGTGAATGAGTCGGGTGAGTTTCCTGCACAGGGCTTGATTTACAAAAGGCAAACAGACTGTTCACTTTGCAAGGAAAGTAACAGTTGTCAAGGATTTTACCCCAGAGCTTGGCGAATAAGGGGAAATTTCACTTTGCAAAGCATACCCAATCCCAAGCAAGGAAAATAAAAGTAAACAGCATTTTTTGCACCAAAAAAAATGCCACAAATGCACACTAAAAATCGGCTGACAATTAACATGCTAAAAGGTTCTGGAGCTACTTCGGGGCGTTTGTCATGTGTAGAGCAGCCCGTTGAAGGTCTGCCTTAGTCCTGGTTCACACTGATGCAGTGCAGAACTCGCAGCATTTTCAGTGCAAATTCCACATCACAATCACACCCCATTCATAGGAACCGATGCGGGTGTGTATGTTACCCCCTTCACGCCTGAGGGTAAAACAAATCTAAATGCCTAAGCACAATTCTGCAACGTTGACATGTGTTAGTAAAACCGTACATATCATCACAACTACTTTGTACATCCAGGTGGATTATACCTTGATTTTTTCACGACAAATTGGGCTTTCATTTGGTGGTAAATGGTAATGGATAGCTCCTGATAATTTTTTATTATCAAAGGAAAAGTGGCCCAAAATAGTAAAAAAAAATAATTTTTTTTATTTAGCTGTGTGTTTTTTGCTACTAGCATAACCTACCACCAAAGAACAACCTAAAATAAATTCTCCAGCTCTTGACGATCGCAGCGATACCATATATGTGTATGTTATTTGTTGTTTGTACCCTTAGTACAGCCCAGAAACAATAGTACGCATTTTGTTTTTGTCTTTTTTTTTTTTTTTTTACCTAAAACACACTGAC